TTCAAGGACCCTGGAATTGGACATTTCTGGGTCTGTAGTCTTTATCTTCTTTAAAACAATTACATACCAGGTGCTGTCTTACAAAGGTCTTATAATGATAGCATTGCTCAATTCCCTCAAAGCTAGGTTTATCCTACCCCCTTTAAATCATGTCCAACTCTCTGTGACCCCATTTGGGGTTTTCTTGGCAAAGATATCGGAATGATTTAGCCATTTTCTTCTAGAGCTCATTTTACAGATGAGGAAACTGAGGCAAATAGGGTGAAGTGACTTGCCCAGGGTCATACAGCTAGTAAGTGGCTGAGGCCAGATTTTAACTCAGGTCCTCCTGACTCCAGGGCTACCACTCTATCTACTGAGCCATCTAGCTGCCCCCGTATTCTATATATACTATGCTTTCCAGATGGAAAATCATTTTCCTTGATGGAGAAAATGGAAGTAAAATATTTTGCCTTTCTTTGAATTCCCAGAGCTTAGGGCAGTGTCATGTACCTAGTCGGTACTTAATAAGTGTCTGACTTACTGGCTAACCTGAGTATGTCTTGCTTTTAAGGAGTATCAGAATGGGACTGCCTGAAAGTGATCTGTAAGGGAAACGAAAGGCTGAAAAGTTGGTGGAAGAAGATGAAAGAGATTGCTCCCTCCCTTTGTCTATGGCCCCCAGCTGCAGAAATACAAAGTCCCCCAACTTGCATTTCTTTCCTCACCACATGAAAAGTAACTTGGTCTGTGTAAGGCAATGAGTTTTCACAGCTTGCTCTATAGTACAATTCTCTAAGCCCGACCTGGTAAATGGTGTGAGATATCCTGTGAGCTTCCGTAGCACCAACTGAAGCTTTGATTATGGCCATTTATGGGGCAAAGCAAAGATCTTCAGTGTCTGCAGGGAAAGACTAGAGTTGAGTTACCAGGGACATCTTTGGGGACAGCTGCCCACTCTGTACTGGTCAGAAGAACATAGGACCATCTAAACTGAACCTGAACATCTAGTCAACTGGGAATAAGAATGGCAATTCACACTAATATAGAGTACTCCAGTTTTCAAAGTCGTTTCACATAGTGTTTTGAGGAAGAAGACACAAAAAGAATACTCTGTTTACAGTCAGAGGACTTGAGGTTAAAGTCTGGTATGAAAGTATTATTAACCCCATTTTACAGTTAGGGAAACTGGCTGGGGGAAGTAACTTGCTCCAGGTGACCCAGAGAGGCTAGAATCTGGGCATCCCCTGGAACAAACTACAGTCATACAATAAATCCAGATCTTCTGACCGGCCAGTACACTCCACTGAGAGGGAGAGTGGAATATGGGAATAGGCACGAGGGATTTGGAGAAGATAGTCCATGGAAATTCAGGGCACCCTGCTTTTCCCTCTCCTCTTCTCTCTTTGGGCTTTGGACATACCCATCTGCCTACTACCTCCAGGTCTCTTGGATAACAACTAGATTTATCCATCTACCTGTTTATCCATCCATCCATCCATCCATCCATCTATGTCTGTCTATTCATCTATCTATCCATTTATCTATCCATCTATTTGTCTGTTCATCTATCTACCTATCTATCCATTTATCTATCTATTCAGCTATCCATCCATGTGTTCATCTATCTATCCATCCATCTGTTCTATCTATTCATCTATCCATCTGTTCATCTGCCTATCTATCCATCCTTGTATTATCTATCCATCCATTCATCCGTCTATCATCTACCTGTTCATCCATCTGTCTGTTCATCTGCCTATCTCTCCATCCATCTGTCCACCTAGCAATCTTTCTCCCTAGTTGTTTATTGTTACTGCTGTCTCTCTCATCAGATGATCGTGTATATATGTATCATACACATGACATATCTTCAGTAAGATATAGGACCTTCCCGGGCATGGCATAGCATCTAACAAATTGTTGTGTTTTATTTTTTAAAAGTTTAACCTGTGATTTCACTGGTAGATGCTTTAATATAGTAGGAACTTAATAAACGCTTGTTGATTTTTTTTCTTTTTTGCCCTAACTTGTGATTTCATCAACATTGGGAATGGGGATGTGGGGATGTGGGGAGTGGGGGAGTGGGGGAGTGGGAGCAGGTTCTAGGCTGGGATCCAGGGCCAGAGTGGGTCAGAAGCAGGATTTGAAGCCAGGGCTTCCTGACTTCTGACAAGGATGCCCCCCTACCATGCTCTATACCATGCTGTCTGGAGCTGTTATCATTGCTATGGAATAGAAGAAAAGAAAAGAGGGGTAGCTCCTTGAAGTGATGTGAGGTACAAAGAATGCTGAGTGCAATAAGGACCATGAAGCTGGAAGAGGCTTCAGAAGCCACTTCTTCTAACCCCCTCATTTTACAGATGACGAACTGAGGCTAAGAGGTTAGGTGACTTGGCCAGGGTCACGCAGCTAGTGTCTGAGGTAGGATCCAGGCTTACTATCCTATAGGGCCATACTGCATTTCATTTCAGCCTACCCTATCCACTCCTAGGGAGCAGCTTGGTGAGAGGGAAAGAACGATAGGGTTGGAATGAGTCTGTCTGTCAACAAGGATTTATTACAGAAAGGCACTGTGCTAAATGGTTGGGCTAGAAAGGAGAGCAAACCGCGAAGCCTGCCCTCAAGGAGCTCGCCTTCTAATGGGGAAATCAAATGTTCTGGGTTCGAATCCCAGTTCTGTCACCCCTGTGACCCTGGGCCAGTCCCTTGCGCTCCATTTCCTCTCTCTGTAATGAGGGGGGAGGTGCCTCTAGGGTCACCTCGGGTGCCCCGTCCTCTCTGCCCTCCTGGCTGTCTGACCCCCGGGGCGGTTCACTCGGAGTTTACAACACTCCCTTTGTCACCGAGGGTCGCTGGCGGCGGTGATGGCGGCGGAGCCATCAATCACAGCCCTAATTTGCCCATGTCACACGGCTAGAGGAAAGCCAGCCCGGGCTAGGCTTCCTCTCTCACCCCCGGCTTGATGGTGATTTCATCTAATTGGTCCCGCGGTAAATAAGTGGCCGGAATGCGCAAGGCAATTAGTGAGTGACCGACCTGCCCATCCGACGGCACCCACCCACGTGGCTTGGGCCGGGGGCTCCTGTAGGATGTGGGGTAAGGAAACAAAGGGGCCGGGGGAGGACGGCAGCCTCAGGGGGAGGCCCGGCCAGGCCAGTGGGCACCCTCCCTGACGCCCGCCCCATCACAGGCCTGAGCCCCAGGGACAGTTCCTAGATGGGCCCACCCCATCCCGGGGCCCCCGGCTAGACCCCCGGGTAATCGGAGTGAGCCCCCGAGGAAGCGAGAGGTCGGCGATGGTGCAGACAGGAAAGAACGGATCTGTGCCAGGGCAAGGGAAGCCGGTAGGGCGGGGAGCTGGAAGACACCTCTCACTAAATCACTAAGTCCTACTCCCTCCTTTTACAGATCAGCAAACCGAGGCTGTGAAGAGACTCGCCCAAGGCCACACAGCCACTAGAAGCCAGATCATCCGACTCGGCATTAAGCATATTCATTCTGCGTGTATCTTGTATGTACATATATGTCCCAACGTCTTCCCTCCCTTGAAATTGAGAGCTTCTGGAGAGTGAGTGGGCTTGTCTTTGTATCCCAGCTTAGCACAGCCCTCAGCACACAGTAGGCACTTAACAACCGTTTGTTGACTGATTGACCACCCTGCCTCCCTAGCATTCCAAATCCCCATCTCTCCCTCCCCCCTCCCTCAGCCTTGAGATGGGAAAACGGCTGCAGACCTTTGATGAGGCCAGCTTTTCAAGGTTTGTCACGGGAAAGGGATTAGGCTGTTCTGCTTTGCCCCATGGCATAACTAGGCTCAGTGCATGGGTGGGGGTTGTAAAGAGGCCCATTTAGGCTTGAAGTATAGAAAATCTTCCAAAGATTGTGGGCGTCCCAAAGTGGAACGTGCTGCCTCAGGAAATAGTAGTGGCTTTCCCTCTTCTTGGAGTCTTCAAGCAAAAGCTAGAGGACCATTTATTTGCTAGAGAGATCTTAGAGGAAATTCTTGGTTGGACTGGAAGCCCTCTGAGGTCACTTGAAATTCTGAGATGCTGGGATTCTAGCCCTAGTTTCTTTATCTTTTCTTTTTTTAAATTTTTAGGCAATTGGAGTTAAGTGACTTGCCCAGGGTCACAGAGCTAGTAAGTGTCAAGTATTTGGTCTGAGGCCGGATTCCAGCCCCAGTTTCTTAAGGGTCCCCAACCTAAGTGAGTGGGATGGGATGGCATATGTTCTCAGTGGTCCTGCCCTTGAGAAGGGTGGTTGGCATCCCTCTGTCTGCCAGCCTCATTCCTACCAAGTCTCATTGGGTGAGAATGAAAAAATGCCTCCAGCTAGCAGAGACCCTAAAGATCTTCTAGTCCAACCCCATTCTGCAGATGAAGAAACTGAGGCTCAAGGGTCACCTACAGTTTGTCCCTCTGCACATGCCTAGTAATCCCAACAGCACAGTAACCTGGAAGAACCCTCATTACAGAACATAAATCTTTCATTACGCAGCATCTAATAGGCTGATTATTGGGTATAGTCCTTTCACTTTACAGTTGGGAAAACTGAGGCCCAGAGAAATTAGGAGATTTGCTTCAAGCTACAAATTTAAGCACTTAATGTTCCAGAGAAGGGGCCCTCCTTATGAAGACTATGGTCCCACCTAGAACACAGTTCCATGGATGTGTATGCCTAGGGTTACCAAATTTTTTTTTAATGTTCATTACACAAAGGATCCCCTCATTGCTGTGCTGATAGACCAGTGTCTCATGGGGTCCACTGTATGTGAATTGTCAGAGCCCCTTTAATCCACATAGCCCTCCTCTTCTCCCACAACCCAATGGCCAGGTCCTGGAGGACTTAAGGCCTCCACCTCCAGAGCTCCTGCATGTCCACTTCCCTAGTCACAGTGGGCATACCCTCCTATGAAGAGCTCTGTCAAACAGAGCCTTGAAAATCATGAACCACCCTTCCCCTCTTCTCCCTGACAAGAAGACGGTGAAATCATCCCCGTGGATTCCCCCAGAACCTACCTTCCTCTTCTTGGACCTGCCTTCTGCTTGCAGGGTCCGGGTACACTGTTCCACACATTCAGAGAAGCTCATGTTACTGTGGTCAGCACTGTAGTCCAGGTCAGCCAGCCTGGCCAGGGAAAGGATATAGTTACAGGCTATCCTCAGGATGGCCAGTTTGGACAACTTTTGACCATAAGAATAGCAGGGAACCTAGAAAGGACAACAGAAAACATTTAGGGCGAGGGCTGGTGACACACACATGGCTGAGAGACACAGTCTGGGCAACAGTCGTGACATGTGATCACCGAGGGCACCATGGAAACATGGAGACGACGTCTTCGCATTGGTTACAGCTTAGAGTCATAGATTCGGTGTTAGAAGTTTCAGTAGAAGCCTCCTTTTACACATGAGGAAACTGGAACCCAGAACTCACAAAGGACTTGAACCCAGGTCATCCAACTCTGAATCGAGTGCTAAATAGAACTGGGAGCAGCAGATGAAGCAGTGTGAGCCGGAGAAGGAACCCAGAGGCTCTCCAGGGCTGGCAGACTGTTTTTTCTTTGTGATACTAGATCAAACCCTCAGCTTCTCTGAGGCTCCACTGCAAAAGAGTCTCCACTTTATTTTATCCCCCACTTTACAGATGAGGAAATTGAGGCAGAGGTTAAGTGACTTGTACAATATCACATAGCTAGTAAGTGTCAGAGGTAGGATTTGAAACCAGAATTTCTGGATTCCAGGTCGGCACTCTTTTCACTATACTTCGTCCCCTTTCCCCATCCCCTTTTTCCTTTCTTTGTATCCCCAAAATATAGCAAGGTGCTTGGCACACAATAGGCGCTTAATAAATGTTTATTGACTGAATGACTAACTTCACAAATGAGATAACATGTGTAAAGCAATCCTTAACAGCCCTATATAAATGCTAGTTAGCAGCAGCAGCAGCAGCAGCAGCCTTGTTAAAAGAGAGGCCTAGTTACTTCTCACAATAAGGGATTATGGGATAAGCAAGATTGTCCTTAACAAGAATAATCAGGACTTTGAATTTTCCACACAAAATATTTCTTCTCTGAAGAGGCACTCAGAAGTCTCTGAAGGTACACTACAACTAAGAAATCCCTGGGGCCCTTTAAGGACTAACCTGGGACTCAGAGCACAGGAACTGGCCGAAGGGCCTACCCTAGCTCTCCACAGAGATCCTGGCAAGTTAACAAGGGACATTTGTAATACAGCTAGGTCCCAATTAGTTTGAATAAGGAATCCCCTGAAGTGAGCCAATGTATTTGACCTCACACCATTCAAACTTATAATTATGTAAAATAAGGCGACTGGTTCCAGCCCAATGGAAATATGCAGTGTGAATCTGAATAATGCATCCATTTCAGGGGATTTCTTATTCCCACTAATCCAGACCAAGTTATACCAGAGGGTGCCACAAAGTAGCATTTACACTCAGTTTCCTGGGAGTGGAAGTATTCTGGCTGAACATCAATTAGCCCACTTGCTCTTCAGCTTTAGAGTTTGATGCCATTGCTATGGGCAATGACAGCTAACATTAATATAGTGCTTATTATATGCCAGACACTGTACTAAGAGCTTTTAACAAATATTATCTCATTTGATCCTCACAACAACTCTAGAAGGTAGGTGCTATCATTATCCTCATTTCACATATGAGGAAATTGAGACAAAGAGAGGTGAAGTGACTTACCCAGGGTCATACAACTAGCATCTGAGGCCAAATTTGAACTCAGGTCTTGCTGACTCCGTTAGTTCAAATCCAGCCTCAGACGCTTACTAGCTGTGTAACCTTGGCCTAGCCACTTAGCCCTTTTTGCCTCAGTTTCACCACCTGTAAAATGATCTAGAGAAGGAAATGGCAAATCATTCTAATATCTTTGCCAAGAAAACCCCAAATGGAGTCAAGGAGAGTCAGAAAAGACTGAAAAGATTGAACAACAAAAACAACAACAGAATAAGCACTCAGATATTTGCTGAGAGAATGAATGGATGGATGGATGAAGAGGGTTTCATGTAATCAAATAGAATTTACAATAAAGTCAATCAGAAAAATATAATGATTAATAATTGTTACTGTTATGTGATACTTCAGCATTAAAAAAAAAAAGCAGGTCACATAAATGACCACAGTCTTCATGATTTAGGATTGTAAAATGTTGGAGTTGGAAGGGAGTTTAGCTATTATGAAGTCCAACCCACTCATTTTACAGATGAGGAGACTGAGACTCAGAGAGCAATGAAACCAAGCTGGGTTATTTTTCTCTGTTTCCTACTTTTTTAATTCCCCTGTGTCTACAAACAATATAAACACGGACAGTTTTCCCTAATAACATATACTGTTTCTCATCAGCACACCCACTGGCTGACACATGAATTAAAAGATACATATCCCAATTTAAGCTTCCCAAGAGCCTTAGAACTAAGGCTCTCATCAAATCACAGAATCCCAGAGTTGGAAAGAACCTCAAAGGCCATTTTGTCCACCCCATCCAGGGGTGGGGGACCTGTGGCCTCAAGGTACATGCAGCCCTTTGAATCAGCTGAACTTGAGGACTGCAGATTCCCCACCCCTGCAATAAGAATCCCCACTAACATACCCAGCAAGGAGTCTCCCAGCCTTTGCTGGAAGGACAGAGAAATTGCCTCCTCTCAGGTTAGTCCATTCTACCTTTGGAAGGCTCTATTTAGTAGAAAAATTTCCCTGACATCAAGCCCCAAATGGCCATTTTGCAATTTTTATCCGACATTCCTGGTTCTGCCCTTTGGGGCCACATATAATAAGAAATAATCCTTCCTCCACGTTAGCTCCTCAAATCCTTGAAGATAGTCATCAGGCCCTATCCTGGGCTTGTCTTCTCCAGGATAAATGTGTCTAGTTTCCTCAAATGATCTTCCAGGATTGCTCCCCACTGGACACTACCCAGCTTAATCAATGTCCTCCTTAAATATTTCCTCACAGAACTGAACATGATACTCTAAATGAGGGGCAGAGTACAATGTTGGTTTATCACCTCTCTGTTCCTGGAATTTAGGTATCTCCTAATGCATTACCAAAATTTATTAGCTTTTTGGCGGCCACATGACTCTGCTGATGCTTTGAGCTTTCAGTCCCCTGAAGGCCCCCCACTCTTTTTCAGAACAACTGCTGTCTAACGCTGCTTCTCCCATACTATACTTGGGAAGTTGATTTTTTGAGCCCAAGTATAAGACTTTACATTTACTGGTCCTGAATTTCACTTTAGGAAAATGTATTCCATGAAATAGTCCAATACTCTGTTGTCTCCCTCCCTGTGCCCATTCTCTGATCCCTGTGCTTTCTTCCCACCAATATTCCTCCATCTGAGGCTTCCTTGAGTGAAGGAGTTGAAAAGGCTGGGAAGAGAAGGTAAATTTTACACGCTTTGCAACTGTGTCTCAGCCTAGCCCAACTGACTCCGAACTGTCCTCTTACACATATTTGAGAGACAACTTCCAGGGAATATTGGTTTGTACTTTAAATATACTGATTGGGTGGGGTGGGGGGTGGTATGAAAGATGATAAGAGAGAGAAAAATACCTAAGAAAAGGATGTGAGGTCACTTGTCAAGGTCACAGATGTCCAGACAAGAGTGGATTCCTATAGTATAATGATCTAGGAAGGGGAGTGCTGGGGAGATGGACTATCATAATGGAGAGGTGAGATTGGCAGACAGTGTCAGGTGAATGAGGGAAGGGTCTTTCAGAACATCTAACTCCAGTGTCCCAGTTACGCTCCTGGTTGAGTAATTCTTGTCTGCCTGAGTCAGCAGGGCCTGTCCCCTTTCACCCGAGCTCAGAGTACTCTTTGATATCAAGAGTTTGGTACAAGAGGTTCCTAAAGGGAATCCAAACATTACTAAAATGAATTCTCCTTTGGGACTGGCCTTTAGAGTTAGCTTACCAAGTACACATACACACACCATTACTTCATAGCTACACCTAACTTTAATTTGTTTTGACCCCAAATCAGAGTCATGGAATCATCAATTTAGAGCAGGAAGGGACCTTAGAGGCCAGCAAGGCTAACCCTTCATTTTTCAGATAAGGAAACTAAGGCCCGGAAATGTTATGTGAATTGCCCAAGATCGTACACAATAAGTGGGATTTGAACCCTGGTTTTCTAGAGTGCTTTCCCACTGTACCACACTGCCTCTCAGAATCAGAATTTGGAGTTGAAGTTGGACCTGGTCCAACTGTCTCCTTTTACAGATGAGGTGAAACTCATTTTCCTCAGAAAGAAGACCATGGCCAAGGTCCTACCACTAGAAAACAGTCAGTATGGTGGGAATTCAAATCAATAACTATTTATGCATCATCTCCCGCCAGTAGAATATAAGCTCCTTGAGGGCAGAGACAATTTGCATTTTGATCTTTGAATCCCCAGAACCTATCACACTGCTTGCTGCCCCTTGGTAGGTGATTAATAATGCTTCCTAAATTGAATTAAAATCTAGCACAGGAAGGTCTTTGAAGGCTCTAGGGAGCTGATTTCATTTGAGCCTCACAATGCTTCTCTGAGAAGGTGCTACTATCGTAATTCTCATCCCCATTGTATAGATGAAAAAGCCAAAGCTCAGAGAGGTGAGCTTTGGTCTCCCATGCCAGGTCTCCCAGCCAGGAAATGTCACCAGTGGGAAGGGAGTGCAGGTCTTCCTGACTCTAGGGCCAGCACCTTATCTCCTAACACCATACAGCCTCTTAGAAGGAGACCCCACCAGAAGTAGGAGGCCACTCCAGGACATTCCAAGGTCCCTGCTACCCCCTCCCACCCAGGCCCATCCAAGAAAAGTTGGCAGAACAATGAGTTGAGGTTGTTCCCAGCAAGAATCCAGGGGAACACGGTGCTTCCCCCCCTCCCTCCTCCAAACTCCTTTATCAGCTCCGACAAGTAAACAAGGCGTGCTGCACGGGAAAGGTACCAGTCCCTGGGGCTGGGGGTGAGTAGCCCTAGTGCTGCAGCCCCCTGCATCACCCCCAAGTTCCCTAGGCCAGCCTGGGCCTCCGGGGGGGGGGAAGGCCTCAGGGAGTAGAGGCTGGAGAGCCCAGCCCTGTGTCCAGATGGGCACAAATGGGAGGTGAGAGCAGAGAGAGCCAGAGGAATGAACACAGGGGGAGGTCAGCTGGTCAGCAGCTGTCTAAGGCTGACTGGAAGGTGGTGATATTAAGGGTAG